GGATCAGAAAAGTTTATCAGTACATTCAACGACTATATAAGCAAAAAGTATAAAAAAGGATAATAAAATAAATGTCGATTGGTACAAATAGTGATAAATCGCATTCAAGAAAATGACCATTTAGTGGCTGAAGTGTGAACCCACTATACCACTTTTTGAATTGTAGGCAAGTACACGCCGTATGTTTTTTTGTTTGGCTTTTCGTTCGGTATTCGATATTATTAAAATTTTATTAATTTAAATTTATACCGGGTAGAAGTATAAGCAATCAATGCAAATGTACACATCACTAAGGTAATAACTAAGGGTGTACACGGACGTGATTGGTTTGATTTTTATCAAAACCAAACCGACCAACTATATTGGTTTGGATTGGTTCGGTTTTGTTGGGTATTTCGAATTTTTTTTATTATGTGAATATTATTTCAATCTTACTTTGTTAAATTTTATTAAGTAAATATATGTTTAGTAAAAAAATTAAAAAAAAATGACAAATATGTGATCTATTAAAACATTCTTATGGAAGAATTTTCTTAGTAACACATGATAGTTGCTTTTTAGTCGTCTAACAAAAATTTTATATTGATGTACACTTTCGAGATTAACCGAATTTAATAATTAAACATAAAAATAAATATGAACCTATATAATGATATGTTCTATTTAATTTTAAATTATCGAAATACCATTTAAAACTCTTTTACATTATCGAAATAGCATTTCAAACTCGAAAAAGATATAAGAATTTAATAGATCTTGGTATATAAATATGGAAGAACAAAAAGATTGATGCATTTCACTAACACTTAACAAGAAAGTGATCATACAATCCATTATTTAAAGTTAATAAATATGGAGCACTTCATATTTAACTAAGTATTACATCTCATAAGAGAATTGCATATATTTTTAGATATTTTTTAAAGAAAATTTTATAAAAAGTCTTAAAAGTATATATAAAATTTTTATATTATATATTATATTTATATGTCGGTTTGGTTCGATTTTTTTAAACTCAATATCAAACCAAATCAAACAAAACTTATTCGGGTTTTTTAATCTGTTTAGTTTGACTTTTTGATTTGGTGCGATTTTCCGGTTCGGTTTGTACCCACTAGTAATATCAATGAAAATGAACATCCAATCCAACTTTTAGTAAATTTTAACTTTTTATTCTTTTTTGTTTTTTTTCTAGGTAACAATAAAATATCTATTTTTGTCCTTTATCATTACTGCCCTTTTCAACCACTACCTATCCACTGAGATTTCGTAGAGGCTAATAGTCAATCTAAACTCTAGAATTATTGCTCAAACGTGGGTGCCAATTTCCAATTCTCCTTTTACCAACTTGGAACCTTTCTGGTAGAGATAATATATCATACCTTAAAGTTAAAAGAGTTCGAAAAAAAATTCAACTTCTTCTGAAAAATCATTATATTTTATTAATGGAAACAATTTTATGTTTGGTAAGACGAAAGTCATCCTGAAAAATATTTCTTTTTTGGTAACCAGAAAATGTTTTCCAAGGGAGAACACTATTTTCACCAAAAGAATAAAAATAATTTCCCTCGCTTATAGACATAAATCGTTTTTCTTATAATAATTTTACCTCTTAACTTCATATTATTTGTTTCAGCTAATATATAGGCATTATTAGTAATACTCCAAAATTCACCAGAATCGTTTCTGATTTGCTATTATTATTATTATTATTATTATTATTGATCTTTAATATATACAATATTTTTTCTGAAATATTTTTTGCTCGCCAGCCAAACACCAAAAAATATTTTCCAAAAAAAAAAAATTCTTTGAATAATGACATCTTTTGTAACAAAGCTATTTTTCCTTTTTTTTTTATATATCTTGTTACTTATATCTCCATCATGATAAGAATAATAAGGGAGTAATACCAGATTTGCTGCTGCATGTTTGTTCTTGTCCTCTCTGCTTCATCTTTCCAGAAATGAATAACCACTTCAATCTGCTGTTCTCATTCATTTGTCTTCTTCTGTATAGCTTCTTCAATCCATCTTCTTCACTCCCTTTATGCACAGACTTGAGTAAGTTTTTTCAAGATTTTTATGGGGGCAGTTCAATCACTATCGAACTGTCATTTTTACATAAGTTTTTGTTTTCTTTTGCTGATTATTCATTGTACATATGTAGGAGCACCTGCTATTCCACAGAAGCCTTTGGCCTTTTGTCCATATAATGGAAGAGTCTGTTGTGACTCTTCAAAAGATCTGCAATTGCAGAAGCTTTTTGAGGGTATGAATATAACTGACACTGCATGTAGTTCTGCTGTGAAGTCAATACTCTGCTCAGTAAGTTTCCTAATTTCATTCAGCCGCTTTACCTTAACAAGGTAGGGGTAAGGTGTGCGTACACACTACACAGGGACTATTGATGTTGTAGTTGTTGGTTAGCTAATTTGCTTTTTTTGCCAAATTCTTGTAGAAAGAATATGATATTTGAGAACTTACATAAGAATAGTTTCAACATCTAATGAATAAACTTTGCTTTAAAGCTAATTAAAAAGATTTCCAACATTTGCAGACTTGTGATCAGTTTTCAGCAGAGTTGTTTAAGGTGAAATCAGGGCCAAGACCAGTTCCTGTTCTTTGCAATTCAACTGCTACATCAGAGAATAGTTTTTGTTCATCTGTTTGGGATACTTGTCAAAACATACCAATAACAAATTCTCCTTTTGCTCCATCCTTGAAAACCAAAGCAGGAGAGAGCCAAAACTCAAACTCCTCCTTGTTAACAGACTTCTGGCAATCGAAAACCGATTTCTGTGAAGCATTTGGTGGAAACTCTGATAAAGATTCATTATGTTTCAATGGAAAACAGGTTTCACTCAAGAAAAATGAAACTTTACAACCTCCCAATGGTATGTGTTTAGAGAAGATTGCTGATGGAGCTTACCTCAATATGGTTCCTCATCCTGATGGATCCAACCGCGTATTCTTCTCCAATCAGCCTGGAAAAATTTGGTTAGCAACTATACCAGAACAAGACTCAGGAGAAGCAATGGAACTTGATGAATCAAGTCCATTTGCTGATTTAACAGATGATGTTTATTTAGATGCAAGATTTGGGATGATGGGAATGGCTTTTCATCCAAACTTTGACAAGAATGGAAGGTTCTTTGCATCATTTAACTGTGATAAAGCTAAGTCTCCCAGATGTGCTGGAAGATGTGCTTGTAATTCAGATGTTGGTTGTGACCCTTCAAAGATAAACTCAGATGATAATAAGCAGCCATGTCAATATCATACTGTTGTTGCAGAGTTCAGTGTTAATGGGACTGCACCAAATCCATCCAAGGTAAGTTTTTCACTCTCAATATGCTCTAAAACAGCAGCTGTATCAATGATGGAGTTCAGCTAAACCTTTAAATTGGGACAGCGAACTTCTATATACCGACATATATACATTGGATTCAATGATAAGAACTTAAAGGTTGAACCTATCAACTGTAACTTCTGGATCCACTTCTGCTGATGGTGTAAAATTCTTTACTCTATCAGTTTATAGAAGTTAAACTCAACATTACAATTCTACCTTGAAATGGAATTTTCTCCAATTCCATTTCAAAGGTTTCTTTGCTGCGTCTCTAGGCACTGTGTTTTGACTTTGTTAATTGACATTTCATACATTTTGTAGGCGGAGAAGGCGAAACCATCGGAAGTGAGAAGAATATTTACAATGGGGCTCCCATTTACAGCTAACCATGGAGGACAAATACTCTTTGGCCCTGAAGATGGATATCTCTACATTATGATGGGAGATGGTGGAAGCAAGGGTGATTCTTTCAATTTTGCTCAAAATAAGAAGTCCTTGCTAGGAAAAATTATGAGGGTTGATATCGATAACATACCAAGTGAGCATTTCGATTTATTACAAAAATTGACACCAAAACTAGAAGCCTAATTAGCCTGCCTTGAACTTTCTTGAGTTATGTCATGAGATACTGGGTGATTTTTTTTCATCAGGTCAAGAAGAAATATCAGACCTTGGACATTGGGGTAACTATTCAGTTCCTCGAGATAATCCTTATTCACAAGACAAGGATTTGCAGCCTGAAATTTGGGCTCTAGGATTGAGAGATCCTTGGCGCTGTAGCTTCGATTCAGAAAGGCCTTCTTACTTCATCTGTGCAGATGTTGGGCAGGTAAATATGATGGTCTCACTTTTGTTAAATTTCATTTCTACAGACCTCTGCACCATGCTGACTTGTAACTTGATGATGACTTTCTGACAATCATTTGAATCATGCAGGATCAATATGAAGAAGTTGACATCATCACGAGAGGGGGAAACTATGGATGGAGCATGTACGAAGGCCCTTTCCGCTTTAAAAATGCTTCAGCTGATGATTCTATGGATCCCATCTTCCCAGTATTAGGATACAACCATTCTGATATAAATAAAGAGGTTGGATCTGCAGCTATCTCAGGTGGCTATGTTTATCGCTCCAAGACTGATCCCTGCATATATGGAAGGTAAATATGAACACCCATTTAGATATATAATTGAAGCAACTTCAAATTTTACAAACCAAACTTAACAGAAGGATGGCTAAATTTGCAGTTACCTATATGGAGATTTGTATGCTAAGAATTTCTGGGCAGCTCAAGAAAATCCATACAATAGTGGGAACTTTACAACAAGAGGCATACCATTTAGTTGTGCTCATGATTCCCCTCTCAACTGCAGCTCAGTACCCAATAGTCCATTGCCTGCTTTAGGTTACATATTCTCATTTGGACAGGATAACAGAAAGGATACCCATGTTTTAACAAGCACCGGCATATACAGAGTGGTTCGTCCAAGTCGCTGCAACTACACCTGCTCAAAGGAGACAGTGAGGGCTGCTGAGAGCCCAGGTCCCTCTGCACCTTCAGATGGTCACATTGCTAAACCAGATTTCTGCTTGGTCCTTGTTCTTTACTGCCTGCTGCATTTGACTAGCTTTATCTTGTAGAAATTTCACTGTGACTATGACATCAGTTATAATACACAAGCTATAGTTTGTGGCGGAGCAACTGTACATCTTGTTGCAGAAGAGAAATCAACTGTAAGATTAAAACCATGACCAACCCTAAAAGCGTTATGATCGTCTTCTCTCTTAAATACCGAATACTTCGACCACAGAAGACACGGCATATCAAATAATGTAGACAACAATACAAGGCCTAAGAAAAGGCAGTCCGGTGCATTAAACTCCCGCCAAGGGAAAGGATGAACCACAATGGGTTTATTATATGTTGTTTTACCTTGTTTCTTGCAAGAGCCTGTTTCCACAGCTTGAACCCATGATCTACAAGGTTTTAATTAAATAAAAACATTAAGAAAAAGAATAAAACAGCAAAGCTACCTTAGCTTCGGCGGAAGTGTGAGATACAAGAAAAAAAGAACGGAACAGGTACTTGATTAATACTGCTTTGGCTTTCGAAGTTTGCAATGCGTGATTTACAAATTTACCTCTCCTGAAACTGATGCCACACGTCTATGGCATAGCTAGCAAACCGTGAGTCAATTAAAACTTCCATACATATCAAGACAGCCATTGATTATCATATAACCTCCTCCAACAGTTTTAACCAGGTTAAACGATCATGCATTTATTCATTGAACTACTACTTCCATCTACCGAAACAACAGCCTCTCCAGAATCTTATCCTAGTCTTCCGGTGTTCTTTTTACATCTATTCCAAGCTTAGAAAAGCACAACCAACTGGGATCTTTATTCAATACACAGATGGATGGCAATCTTTGATGGTATGTTGTAATTTACTGCATTGCAGTAGAACTCCAGGCCCACAACACCTGATACACGAAGAAAGATGAATGTTAGATCACTCACTACCACTTCTGCAGCTATGGAAATCGAATATAGGTTAAAATAATGCTGCCCCTTGGAACTTCTGACTTTACATCCTCAACGCCCAAGAAACCCCCCACGGCTCCCCCCCCCCCCCCTCACCCCCATCCCCCAAAAAAAACCCCCCCACAAAAAAAAGGATACAGCAGCCACGTAAAAGTCCACTCTCCACTCTAACTTTGTACCCTTATAAAAGAAGTCCATTCCAAAGTTATCCGCTTTCCACTTCAAATCACCGGAGGAAACTGAAAAAGGAAGTCCATTCTAGAGTTATCTGTTTTCCATACTAAACTACAGGAGGAACTGACAGTCAATTCAATTTGCAACTTTTACCTAGCTTTCATGCTTCTTTTCCTATCCAAGCAGGAATTTCTTAAAGCTGACCATCAGTCCTCCTTTCACCTCCCTGCATCGCATGCTACGGATCTAAGTGAAGGGGGAAAAAAAGAAGCAAAAGTGCAGTACAGTGCTAAATTGCAGCATGCATTCAAAAATTGTATTCAGTTTTAGTTCCTTGAAGAAATGGAAATGACTAACAATACGCAATTACCAAGTATAATGAACTCAGCTGTTTCAAATAATCATCTGATGATTTAAAAGAGTAACAACTTGAATTGGCTTGACCGCACAAAAAGACTTATCATCATGAGGAGCAAGGCACCTGATTTATTATGGCTAGTTTCAAAATCAGCTACAGGATCACCACTAACACGATGCAGAAACATCTCTGAGAGCATTTTGCTTCTGAAAATGCTCGAAATGCTAATCCAGACTTAAAAAGCCACATTTCTCTCAGGCTCTAGGTTCCTCAAATGAAAAAGTCTGAGAGTGCTTAGCTTCATGAAGCTTTGACACCGGTGAATCTACTAGCAAAGGAGATCAAAGGTCCGAGATTTAATGTAACATGGTCTAATAATAACAGAAAATTCCTGGAATTTTTCAAAACCTGCAGCCTCTATGTTTTCTTCCTCCAGATTGACACAATTCTGACAATAAGCAAAACCTTTGAAGCAGCTATAAGCAAGATCCCTCTGGCCATCCAAGGACTCTGTTCTTGAGCATATCGGTGTTCATGCTCTTAGCTCAATGAATCAAACCTCCAGCAAAGCTGCTAGAGACCTTCTTATCTGATACATGCAAGCCATGAAAGAAAGCCATGAAGCTGTCAAATTTTTGGGACTGCTCGGAAATTTGAAGAACATGCATATTTCTGGGCAGCTAAGTACCATCATTCTTTTCCACAATTTGAAGTCTCTCGAGGCACTAGTTCCTGGATGCTTCAATGACTAGTGGTTTTCCCATATGCTGGTACCAATTTTTGACCAACAGTCAGCCAAACTATGTATTGCTGTAGCTCAAGAGACCTGAAACAACAAATTTGAAACTGATTTATCCCCGAAAAAGAAAAAGACTACGTGCTGAAGTATTTGGTATGCTAACTAAAGAAGAATGTCTAGCAGTAAGCTAGTCAAACTTTAGCATAATTCTTATGGAAGCTTATTCTTCTATGGTGTGGAAGATTTACCAAGGTTCTTGGATGATGACTACAATTTCAGGTTCCTGCTTTCTGTAGCAGCACAAATACAGCTGAAACTCTTTTATCAGAAGATTTAAATCACAGAGAACTATCATGTATTCCTGTTATCAGTCTTGTCTGAAACACACTTTTCTAATGCTTCATCACAAAGCTCAAGCGCCAAATCAAAGTTCCCTAATTCATAGTTCATATCCGCAAAGATGGAGTAAAGTTCTTTATCTGCCAACAAACCTTCCCTTCTCATCTCTTCAAACATTTCTTTGGCCTCAGAATACTTTTTCCTCCTTAAAAAACCTTTGATGAGTGCATGATAAGTATCTACCGTGGGAGTAAATCCCTTCTTGATCATTTCCTTGTGCAAAAACCAAGCCTCTTTCATATTTCTAGCTTTGCAATGTCCTCGTATCAATATGTTAAAGGTATTGGCATCTGGTACAACTCCTTGGCCCAGCATCCCCTTATAAATTTCTGACGTCATACGCATATTATTTCGAATGCAGTATTGCTTCAGAAGAGAATTGTAGGTGGTAGCATTTGGTATTATGCTCTTCTCCAACATCCACTTCAACAGTTTATCACCCTCTTCTAGCATCCCTGACATACAAAAACCATTCATCAGAACATTGAATGTAACTATTGTTGGTTGAAGTCCTCTGACCAACATCTGGCGTAGTAGTCCATGAGCCTCGCCCATCTCTCCAGATTTGCAATATGCATCCATTAGAGTAGTATAAGTAAAAGTATCAGGATGGATCCCTGCAGCTTCCATATCTTTCATTAACTTTACTACTTGCTCTACATCTCCAGCTTTACAAAGACCATTAACAAGTGAGTTGTATGTGTAGATATTCAGTTCAAGACCCTTTCCACACATCTCATGGAGAAGTTCGTGCGCTGTATCAAGTTCCCCTAGTTTACAGAGCCCATCTACCAGTGCAGTGTAAGTCACAATATTTGGCGCCAACTGCATCTGAACCATTTTGTTGTGAAGAGAAAAGGCTGCCCTTATCTCCCCTGCCTTGCAATAACCATCAATAAGCGCAGTATAAATGAATTCATCAGGTTCTAATCCCCGGCCAAGCATATCATTTAAGAGCGTATTTGCTTCACCAATTTTTCCAGTTTGACACAGACCAGAAATAAGGACAGTATATGTTACCAAATCAGAAGTAATGTTAAAATACTGCATCTCATTGAACAGTCTGTATGCAGCACTTATGTTCCCAGTTTTGCAGAAGCCATCTATAAGAGTTGTGTAAACAACATTATCTGGAGCGACTCCCTGGGAAGTCATCTCCCTCAGGATTTTCTCGGCGTCAAGCACTTTCCCAGTCTTAGACAAAAGAAGAATTATACTGTTAAAAGTAAAAGCATTTGGCTTCAATCCTTTTACTTGCATTTCTTTGATGATCTTCAAGACTTGTTCAAGCTGTCCAGTAGCACAGTATCCATTAATCACGGTGCTGTAACTTACAATTTCAGGCATACAGCCCCTCAGCTCCATTTGCAGGAGTAAGTTATGAGCTTCTTTAACTTTTCCTATCTGACAAAGAGAATGGATCATTATATTATGAGATTCATTATCCCAGCAAACACCCACTTCCGAAAATTCATTAAATACCTTAAGCATCATTTTGTGCCCCTCAATATCATGCGAGAGACGAGAAAGAAATAAGTTACATGAAGAGACAGATAAAACCAAGCCATAGTGCAACATCTTATCAAAAAGTTTTCTTGCATAATCTAGAATTCCCAACTCAACAAGCACTTGGAAGAAAATATCAAAAACATATGGATTAGAACCCCAATCCTTATAAGTGTATATTAATTTTTCAAGAAACTGTGAGAAGGAAACTGTCACATCTACACTGGGTCTTGTCCAGAAATCATGGATAAGCCTATGTGCTGTCCTTGCATCTTTTTGAGCAGCGGCAATATGCACGACAATACAACGGACTTCAATTGACGGGTCCCTCCGTTGACACCACCAGTCAAAGAAATCCAGAACTAGTTTGTAATCATTCTTCACAGTCATGAGAACCCAAATGATGTGGTCAGGTCTGATTTTTGATTCAAAGGGCTTTAAAACACGGCGAATGTGCTCAGAGTAACGTTGCTTAATAGAAGTTGCTACGCGATGCACGAGTTCAGAGTCTCTAATGGAGGCTTTTTTAGGCGAATAATCTGGAAAGGGTCTCGCATCAGTTAAAGGAAAGAAAGAAAGCTTTTCAGCTGCACAATTAGTTGAAAAGCAAGAGAATGAGGTGTGTTTTATCACAGAACCCAAGTATCGATGATAAGATAAGAGTTGACAATGGTACGAAAAACCAAAAATAGAACACCTCCTCATCTCTTTCAAAGAGAGCCATTAAAGCTTGCAAATGCCATGGCTCTCCTCCATGTACAAGACCAATTCAGAGAAACTTCATCTCTTTGTCACCTGTAAAACAAACAAGATAATCAGATAAGACATTGATCAACAACAACAACCCAGTGTAATCCCACAAGTGGGGTCTGGACATAAGACATTGATCATGTAATATTTTTACTTAAAAGGCAATTTCTGGAAAATACAATATCTGGAGAAGAAGGAAACTGAATAAAGACAAAAATTAACCTATCTGATAACGCTGTTAATGCTTCACCAATAATAAATATCCAGAAATAAAACAGCAAAGTTAAACACCATTCTGTCGCACCAAATTGATGTAGAAGATGTGAGTTCTCTTCTTTTAAAGGAGAGATGATATATTCACATCTAGAGCAGAGTTTACAAGATAAACTACAGTTCCCAACTGAGGCTAAACACCAGCCGAGAAACAAATGAAAAGTGTGAAACAAACAACCCGTAAGTAAACTGACTCATAATTCTTCAATCTATAAGTCGAGCATTGTGCATAGATTTGTTGTGCCAATCCAACACAAACTCCTTTTTTTTAAAATTATTTTTATTGTTTTCAGATAATTCTTTTCAATAGAGTTTCTTTTTTATTACATTACAAACATCCAAAATGCTCTGAACGTAGCCTGTGTTGTGAGTACAAGTTAGAAGTTGTTATTATTAAGCATTTACATGTTATCTTTAATGATACTTAATATGGTGCTTCCTAGCTTTCTCTCTTTAATGTCTACATCTGCAAGAAACTAAGGGCTAAGGAAAATATAATACTCGGCATTAATACTACTGTGTCTGTCTTCAGGTACAAAACATTTCTAATACAATACAGCGTTACTAATACAGCATTTGGTTTTAGCCTTTTAGGTAAAAAGAACTCTGCACAAAAATACCTGCATAAGTCATACCAGGGGCGTATCTGGGGGGGTTCCATGGGGCACGTGTACCCATGCTCCCCTCCCTAAATCATGTATAGTAATATTATATTTTTTTTAATGTTAAATATGTGTGTGCACCAAGCTCAACGTATCATATGATGCGATGATTATAGGATGCACCTCTCTGAGTGGATTATCAAATTTCATGTCAATCAAATTTTATTTTTTTAGTACTAGGCATCCAAGGGAGATGGACATATCAGGTGTCACTTTTTGCATATTAATTAAGTACTTCTTCTTTTTCTTTCTTTCTCTGTTTGATTTATTCTTTTAAAATTTCACGCATTGAAATTCCTATTATTCTTTTGTTACCATAAAATTTTATATGATTAAACGAAATGTGCATATTAAAACTAGTAGTAGTGAATGATGTAGCATATAGTCAATGGATTCAACTGATCCCAACATTTTCGATAGGGAGTAAAGAAGACATATATAGATGTAAGAAAATTACTATATTAATATTAAATTTGACCTTATAATTCCAAAAGTATAGTGGATGCAATAATAGAACTAAAGGTTGAATTCCTAAAATTTATATTCTGGATCCACCGCTTCATAATAGTGCCCATCCTCCTAAATTCCTGGATCCGCCTCTGAGTTATACGAGATTAAATTTGTTACTTATATATACTACTAGTGAGGGTATGCCCAGGCTATTGCCCGGGCCCAACTCTATATGAGCAATCTTTATCTAATTTGTATATCATGGTTCAGTTCTCTTGAGTACACCAGAACTTTAGGCTTCATTGTTGTTTAAAACCTTGAAGAATCATCGACGAAAAGCCTATACAAAATGAGCACGTCTAGAAAAGATGTCATACGCAGATGAGGAACTATAAGAGTTAGTAGCTGTGAAACATAAAAGTATATTAAATTGACAAAGGGAGGGCAAAATGCAATATCAATGCAAAATATATTTGCTTTAGATCAAAGTCTACTTCCACCTAAAGTGCTATTTAGAATTGTAAGAGATATTCTGATTGTTCCAGGTGATTTCTACGTAACTGCACTTGAAAAAATAAATAGTAAAAAAACGGAAGTCGCTAAAGGAAATAGAAGCAATTAGGAAAGTTTGTAGTAAATTTATCACTACTAAATAGGAAAGCACTTTGGTGGATAAGAAGCTGTGTTATTACAGCAGAGAAGGACAAATTTATGAGAGTAGAATCGAACGAAGAAATGAAATTAAAGCAGTTACAGAACTAATTTCTAATAAACAGTAAATCCTCCTCCTTTCTATTGGCGTGGGCCGGCAGTGTAGTCATTTTGGTAAATGTAATGGAATGTAAGTGGTATGTTGCAATTTAGTGCCAACAGCAAGTCAAGTTAGTAAGCAAAGGTGCGCGACCAAATTAGGAGAGCACCTTGCGCTTCACAAATCAAGGCAATAAGATGTTTCATAAGAACTTAAAACGATTTTAAGCATGTACCGCCAAACTCTACAGAGAATCAACGTGGACCAATGAATTAAACAGAGTTATGAAAAGGTGAAAAAGATAAGAATAAAAAAATAAAAATAAAAAGAAGCGTAGTACTTCATCTTTTTACCAAAAACTGATTGGTCCTAACAAAACTTCATACCAACTGAAAAGATAGATACAACGTCCAACAGATGAACAACAACCTCTCATCAGAGAATGCAGAAGATAATGAACTTCAACAACTGCATTAACAAATAAATCTCGCATAGAGGTTCATATATTGACCGTTTCACTAATGGCTTGGAGGAAGAATAATAAGATAATTAAGTATAAAGTATTCTCTTTTCTTCTTTACAAAGCATGTAATATTCTAAAAGAAGTTACAAGTTACCCATTCAAGGATCCAATTCCCTTTCTTTTGGTGATCATGTCTTTAAGATTCATAATATCAATAAAATTCTGCATTTTTTTATATGATTAGTCATCACGATTAACATCTCCGCAATAGTTTCCCACACCTGTAGATTACTCTAATGGTGCAATAGAACAAAAGATGGCATCTTTCTTCAAAACCCACAAAATTGCACCTAGTATCCTTTATTTTATCTTTGTAATCAAGTTTATACATCCACTCATATTCCCCAAGATTGACTTTAGAAGATGCACGAAGATACACTTTTTTTTCCTTTTGTATATACCGAGAAGAAGAACAAGATCAGAAACTGTAGACAAAAACAAAGCCTGCAAGACCACAACTTGCAGAAGCACCAGGGAAGGCACTTTAGATATGACAAAGAAAACTTAAATTTTATAGAATCAGTGAAATAACTAAAGCGTAAATAACGATATTTGAGGAAAGTTGCCTTCATAGACAATGCAACATTTCATAAAACTGGTTGGCGAAAGATACATAACCATAGTCAAACACCTATAGTACAGACGTTGTAAATAACTCTAAGCACACAAGAACAGAAAAGCATAGAGAAAGAAAAAGCAGACAACAGAAGTACTTGGAACCATATCTTAGTGAATGAACAACAATAACAGAGCTAGGACAGAAAGAATCAGTCAAATTTAGGACGTAGCATGCAGCGGAAGAAATGAAACATACTTTTCTAAATGTTGCAATCATCATCACATATATATTTTAGTTGTCCAAAGAGAAAGCAAAAAATTTCAGAATAACACATGCAAACATTATGCTGCAATAATGTAATCTGTTTTACCTATACTCAACATTCCAGTAACAGTATATATTCTCCATCTTGTAATAGTATCTCAGGCATCAACATATACCATTAATTCCCTCTATGTCATGTATGGAAGATAAGGGAGCTATAACATAAGCAGGAAAACTTTGTGGCAACAACAAATTTTGTAAATCATCATGTTTGTTCGTACAAAAAGAAAGCGTCGAAGTCGTTTACGAATCACAAAAGTGCTAGAAGTCTCGTTCCATTAAGTATTAGGATTCTACTTTGACATTGAAATTAGAATTTTGAAATACTTCTATTATCATTGCTTCCTCCCAGATAGGTTGGGTACAAATGTAGCAAATTTTTCACTTTGCCCAACACATTTGCTTATATGAAAGGATATATAACTGGAAGAACAAAGTAAAAGAAAAGCAAAAGCCATTATATATATATATATATATATATGTATGTATGTGTGTATAGGTACTGTTATTAAAATGTTTTATTAAGTACAGGACCCAATCTTCTAATTGCAAGTATGGAACTTCATAATTTTTATAGATAATTCAGTTTGTAGTAAGTAGGCCAAAAGAAGTTCCATTATAACAAANTTGTGCGACAGAGTAAGGTTCAATATTGGAAGAATTAACACTTAATAAACACCCACAGTTGTTCCAGTTTATTTGATGCTTCAACAGACTTGAAACGAAAAGGAAGAGTAGAGGACCTCAATTTTAACTTCCCATGTTTAATTCAAATTAGCCAAACAAAGCTACATGAAGTTTTTATCCATATTAAACTTCCTGGAACATAGTCAGTTAGATGAAGTTATCTACTGATAGGTTATTTTAGTTTCTACTAACTGAACAGCGGTGGTCCTCCGTTTGCATTATATAAAAGTTACACAAACTCTTAACAATATAACCTAAGTTTGGAAAAATTCAAGTTTGGATCCTATAATAAGATAGGGCAAAGAAAGATGTACCTCGGCAGGATCAATAGTAGTATTGTACTTCTTTATAAAAGGCGAACGTGATTCATCATTGAACTGAAAAATAGGCAGCCAATATCATAAAAAGTGGAAAGAACTACAGGAAGAAATAGGAAAAGCTTGCATCTGTGTACAAGGGAAAAAACCTGAGATATTTTTTCCCCTAATATAAACTGAGAAAAAAATTTAAAGGTAAATATTGATCTTGAATAGCCAATTTGCCATCTTATCTAAGCTTAAACCCATAAGGTTTTTACACAAGCACACTCTTTAAGTTTAAGAGTCATATATGCCTTCAATATACAGAATCTCAACAATTAGTCTGCACAAAGATATTCTCAAACAATGTATAAAAATACAAATAAAACTCATGTATTATTGGACACAACAGGGAAAAAAATCATAATATACAGAACTTTAAGGAGTAACACAATAGCATGAGTTACATTGCGACGCTCCAACTCAACCCCCTCTGCCCAATTTCCACACTGTCAAAAGAATCATCAGTTGAAAGTTCTAATCAAACTTAAATTTGTTTGTAATAGGAAACTCTTCGACTTATGATTAATCACAGTGATAATACATTCAGTTGTCACTAATTTAATGTCGTGAAGCATCTCTTATGAAGTAATACATCTTCAATTGAGAAACAACAATGAGCACTTATCTAACACCGCATTTCTCTTAACTTTTGTCAACACAAAAAAAACTCTCAAACTGCTTGAAAAGGAATGCACACAGTTAGTCCTTTAAATCCCAGTTGGGGGGTTTAGGTAGCATTTTATTTCAACATTCTAAAAACTTAAAAAAGTTTCAGAAGAGTAAAGAAGTTAAGAAACAAAAATATTCAAACACCTTTAAAAACAAAGGCTATTTGCTGAAGTGCAACCCCTGAGGGGCCATCACAGTCAACCCAGAAAAGAGTATCGCTAACACTTCCCTTAATTCAAAGGACTTTTGGCCAAGCAACAGAGTCCACAACCAGTCGCAGTTTTCCTAAAATACCCCTACGACCCCAAGCTCCTCAAACTCTCCCTTATTAATAAGAGGAATGTGGAATAAGAATATGTGTATTCCGCATCCCAAGATAAAGCTATTTCTTATTTTGGTATCACAAAGTCTGTATAACAATCCATGTATTATCGTTCATCCAATAAAAATCCACATATTATTACTCACAACAAGACTATAATCCTTGCATAACTAGTATTTACAAAATGACCCCTAAAAGTTAGTGCAAATCAATAGCAACACAATATACAAAGTTTTCATCTTTTTGTGAACTTATGAGCCTACTTTCAAGTGAAAATACTCAGATAATTGATACTATAATTTTTTTTTATAAGGGACAAAACTAGGCAATGGAAATTTGATACTATTAATTGTTATATAATGAACTAACAGAACTTTGGCTATAATCAAATGGGAAGCAATAAAAATGAAAATTAACTTGAAAACATATAAAATTAAGTAATGAAAAATCGAATTCCAAGCGTACTTTATTAGGGTAAAGTAGAAAATAGTGGAGATAGCGAGCAGAGAGGAACATACCACCCGATTTTTCGCCGGAGAAGGAAGCAGGTTTCACTGTTGGGTCGTTGAATTGTTGTGTTGTAATGGACTCTGGGCCTCTCAAAATCCATTTTCAATAACTGATGGGCCGGACATATGTTGAAGTTAACAACTTTATGGGCATGGATTTGGGCAAGCAGAATTTTGGGCTTCCATTTTTTAGAGGGCCATATCCAAAAGGCTCGAAACAGTAAATATTTTTCACCTTGTAACCAGTTTTGCCCGCTATTTAAGCTATATCCAGTGTCTCCAATTTTTTTAACTGGTAGCCAATATTAAACGAAAATACTTTATTAAATAAAAGCGAGTTTGAAATTTTTAGAACCTGTTAGCTTGCAATTTTTGAACCAGAAAATCTTGAAATCTATTGGTTGATGCTGTTTTGGGGATCTTCACCTAACTAGTTTTGGTTTGGTAAATTGAATACGTGGAGAATCAGTTGAATCTCAATTGAAGGAGCTTGAAATTTAGGATTCCGTGAAATTATTATTTGTTTGGGCGGGGTATCGCTTCAATAAATTTGGTACATCTAAAGAAGATCATATCTTAAATTTGGGACCGATTGGTAAAAGTTTGAGTGAATTTGATCAAAATTTCAGCTGCAGCTTAAAGGAAGAAGGCAAACAAACTGAAGCTGGCAGATTTTGCCAAGTTCATGCATATACGGTTGGACATTAGCCTAGCTTCAGCCATATGTACAAAAAGACCTGACTTTTAGCCATATATGCTTGACCTTTATGCAAAAGACCTTTATGCAGAAATAGAGTTAATTTTATCCATGGTCATTGAACTTTTGTATTTGTTACCCAAAAGTTACTTTTTTTTTTTGTTACGTAAAAAACATTCAATTTTGTGTCACTTTTCTTTCTTTTGTTATACAAAAATCATTTTACTTTACTCTAGTTATCACAAGGGACACATTTTTACTTGATAATTCTATTATGCCCTTGATATTATATAAACCTTCACATTTATGTAATACCTTCTATATTATATACTATATAATATATTTTTAACTATGTATTTTATTTATAAATAAAATAAATTAATATTATTTTATTCATTATTTTTATAATATATTCATATATTTAATTTTTTTCTTAACGTTAATTTTTAAAATATATTAGTAGCTTTGTTAAATTTGTCAATAACTTTAATATATATTAGTAGAGAAATAAATCGGCAAGTACATTTCCGTGAGAAAATTCACACGTAAACAAATAGAAAATGAGGAAAAAATCATATGTTAATCTGAAGGAAAACCAATAGGTAACTCTACAAGCGAATTTAGCTGGGGATATTTTCTTGGGGATTTACCTGGGCAATTGGTAATTTGGGAAATTATACTACTAAAAATTCGAGAAAAACCGTCCAAAAAATTCGACCAAAGTTGGTCGGTAATGGCCAATAACCGTCCAAAACGCGACCATTAACGTCTGATCGGTATTTTGAAGGTCGGAAGGGCATACCAACCTTGGTCACAAGTTACCGACTAACTTTGGTCGGTCAATTAAATTAAAAAAACAAGAATTAATAAAAAAACGTTATTTTATAACGCTACTAATATATCTTGAAAATTAAAGTTAGAAAAAAAATAAATATACGAATATATTATAAAAAAAATAAATTAAATAATATTAAATTATTTTATTTATGAATAAAAAATACATAGGTAAAAATATATTATATAGTATATAATATAGAAGGTATTACATAAATATGAAAGTTTATATAATATCAAGGGCATAATAGACTTTTCAAGTAAAATGTGACTTTGTGATAACTAGAGCAAAGTAAAATGATTTTTGTGTAACAAAAGAAAGAAAAGTGACTTTTGTATAATGAACACAAAGTTGAATTTTTACGTAACAAAAAAAAAAGTGACTTTTGGGTAACAAACACAAAAGTTCAATGACCATGGATAAATTATCTCTGCAAAAATACATGAACTTTAGTTATATGTGCCCAGGGGCGGCCAGACCCCAAAGCAAGTGAAGCATTTGCTTTAGGCCCCAAGAATTTAAGGGCCCCAAAATTACTATTCTATTTCTTTATAAATAGTATATTATTTATATATTATTTCTTATGATTGATAAATTTATTTCTTTATTGTCATATTAATTTTTAATAACTCAATTTCTTCCTCTAATTAATANGGAGGAAGTATATTTTCTGGGTTCTCTCATTTCAGTTGTGATGCAATCAACGCAAAATTCATTCAATTTTTTGTATTTTATAAAACCAAATTTTTATTTTTTTCATTTCACATACTATATATATATATATATATATATATATATATATATATATATATATATATATATATATATATATATATATATATATATATAT